GGCGGTACCAGGAGGTCGCGCACGGCCTGAACCTCAGAATTACCAATCACGGCACGAGCCTTGTCGGCATCAAATGCTTTGGCAATCTGACCTCGGTTCAGACGGTTCGTGACGTGGTTTGCCCAGGCTTCGTCCGCCAGGTCCGGGTCGCGGACGAGCGACCTGAGGCTCTGGTCGACTGCGTCGTTCGGGTGGGCGCCCGCGCCGGCGTTCAGCTGTCCTCGACGGCTCTGCTTGCGTGCGACTGCCTTGCGCATGGCGTCCACGACCCGACCTAGTTGCCCCGTCACAAGCCAACGGAGACGATCGTGAAACATATTGCGCAGGTCAATCGTAGACAGTGCGGTCGAGGGAGCAGACAACAACATGCTAGGCAAGGCCAAAATCAAAGCCCAGCACATCTCTCGCTCTTCAGCGGTATAGTCCGAGTGGACGGCAGACCAATACAGCTGGCTCAAGGTGGCAGCCATCAGCTTGGTCTCGGTGGCGTTGGATGGGTAGCGGCTGCGCTGCATCAGTGGATGCCGGGCGAGCTTGAGCAGCTCGCAGACACTGATGCGAGACCCTACACACTGTTGGGGCCAAGCGCCACGCATAATCTCAAGCAGGTCGTGTCCAGCCGCATGAAACAACGCCTCGGTCGCTCGCTTCAGATTGGCACCACATCGGGAGCGGTGTTGACTGATACCAGCAGCTTCGAAGAAGAGGTGACACTTGTTGCACTGGGCGACCAATTTGGCCTCCATCACCTGCTTGACCAGATCAGTGGCTTGCTCGTCGTAGGGTGCTCGCGTAGTACATGATTGACCCAGGCTTTGCGGTTCTTTGTTTTTGTGCTGTGATGGCGTGTACTTGTGATGTGTGACTGCCTTTTTGTGTGACTGCCTTTTTGTGTGACTTGTGGTTAAAATGGCCGTATCTCTGGTTTTACTTGGTCGTTTTGTACGATTTTTGTTTCTATGAAAAAAAACCGCTGCGGTTTTTTTTCTATGTGCGTGATTCTTCGCGCTTGTACTTCTTGGCATGATAGAAGCCGATGAATGTAGCTTGTTCTCTTGTGTTGTTTTGCGTGCCGTCGTGATTTTGTTGTCGGGGTTGCACAGCTTTGCTTTCAGCTCTGAGGTTCAAACACCTAATTTATTTATTTTATTCAGCAGTAGACGTGGCAGTGACCGTCTGCAGCTTGGAGCGCCACTCCACGGGTCCACCAGCGAGGTAGACAATGCAGCCTTCACGATACTTACGACCAGTTTCTTGAGCAAAGCTCGCATCAGTGTAGGTCGTGAGGCGAAGGTGCTGGCCAGACCGATAAGTCAGACCAAGGTCCTTCGTGCCCTTGACATAGCGGAGCAGGTGCTTGGCAGCGTTCCAATGCTCTACGGTGTAGCAGCTGGCAAAGGAGCCCAGCATGCTGACAGCGGTGGCAATGTCAGGGCGAGTGTGAGTCATGAGGTAAATCAGTTTGCCCAAGAGCTCACGGTAAGGGATCGACGGGTCAATGTCGGTACTCCCCTTGTCGAGGCAAATGCCTGGACTCAATGGCATCGGCGCGGGCTTGGCATCGGTCATGTGAAAGGTAATAATAAATTAGGTGTTTGAACCTCAGAGC